TACGGTTTCTACTTGCGCACAATTCAGTGGGTCACATTATTTCAGACAATTACGCTGACAAGCATTTTTGCGTACCACACCACATTTGTTCGTGGAAAACCTTAATGAATCATCAGCAATTCCCGTTTTGAGCTGATTTACAAAATCTACAGCTAATGACCGTTAATTTATCAAAATTATAGGTAGGCTAGTGCTTAGTAATGACATTTTTGTATTTGGTCAATGAAACAATGGGTCTTAACAAATACTGACGTATGTGAAACTACTGGTGAAAACTCAACATACTGATCAGGACTTTAACTGAGATTCACTCGATTAACGATTTGTATGTATGTACAGTGAGTGACCGATTTCATGAAATGTTGGCTGAAATTCTGAAAGGCGTTTTCGATTAGGAAGGATTACTTAGGCGCGGTTGTACTACTGATTATCTTGCGACATAATTCTCTAATATTTCGGACTCGGCAGGCCTGCAGCTTTTGAATGCACTGATTTTAAATCACCCTTAGAAACCGTATCTGGTGAGAAATGACTACTTATGTAGCATTCCTTTTTCTCGTTGATTTTCGATGGTCTTGCAAATTCAAATATATTTTATAGAAACCACGAACAAAACATGCTTTCTTTCAGTCGTTTGATAGAGAATCATGTGGTCTTTTTATTTTGTGCTCGAAGAAGGAATAAAATTAGGTTTTCAAAAAGTTTCTAATTTTGAGATTTTTCAAGACCGTGCAATGTCCATTCATACAGCATCATGTCTGTCTGTTTATCAGTGCTCCTCATCAAATGTACAACATGGTCCGCATCCACTGCAACATTTTATGGATCCTATATAGTTTCTTTTTAAAGACATAGAAGAGTGTGTGCATTTCTTTACGGGGAACACATGCATCTTGTAGACTGAAATCACTAAACGCTAATGCAACGGCTGATCGGGCTCCAAATTATTCGGGAATTAGAAAACGTTTGTAAAACCTAATTATACTCCTTCTTCGAGTAAAAAAATATAAAGACGACTTGATTCTCCATTAAACGACTGATAGGAAGCACGTTTTGTTCGTGGTTCCTATAAAATATATTTGAATTTTCAAGGCCATCTAAAACCATTGTAAAAAATGCATGCTACTTAAGTAGTAATTTTTTACCAAGTACGGTTTCTACAGAAGATTAAAATGTAAAGGATTCAAAAGCTGACATCTTGCCGAGTCTGAAATATATTAGGACTCTGTCCCATGATAATGAATGGTTCAACCCCACCTAAGTAAACCTTCCTAATCGGAAGCACATTTCAGAATTTCAGCCAACATTTCATGAGATCGGTCATTCACTGTATGTGTTATTTAAATTGCGCCCACGGTCTGAAGATCATATGTGCTAATGGGTTTAAACAAGCATTCAAAAGTGCTGCCTTGGCCGCTTTTATTTCTGGTTTATTTTTATATAAGGCATTTTTTATTACCGTGTCGGCATAAGATAAGTGATCTTTCTTGTTGACGCCTCACCTGCGTCCTATAATTCGGCCGGAGTTAAAATGGCATTACAGGATTTGGCTGAAAATCTATCATTTTGCTGAAAGACGCTTCAGCGGACGCATGTGTCCGGCACTGTTTAATTTTCCACTAATATAACATTATAACAGTGACGGTGAACAATAAACCTCAATTCTTGTGTACGTTCTGGATGGTGAGCGTGGACACCAACTTGGCTCTTCGGAACGATAGACTTCAGGCCAATTCAAGAGGGAAACAGACACCAGTCAGGGTTGTAGTCTGGTGATGACAGTCGGGTTGAAGTGGTTATTTAAATCTTATCCATTTAGGAAGAATGTTCATGCCCACCTTACTTATTTCACAGCAAACCTGCATGCTCATTCAGAACTCGCTCTTTTTTCCTGGCGAAGCACTATTGATAACGCTTTCGATTTTTTATTTTGTATTTTGAAAATCGTTTCCAAACTCTTACTTATGTGATTCTACCCTAACTTCTTCAGTAATCAGATTAAGCGATTTCTACCTTAGCGTCATTTTTACATCGGTGAATCACCGGGGACAAACTATGAACGAAACATACCTTATCTTTCCATTTATTGCCCCGTATGCATATGGCCATAAGCTGGGACGTTGTCAGCATGCAAATTTCCTTCTCGTGTACCTCGCTTCCACAATCCGTGGATGACTCACTTCTAGGGACTCAATCCGAGCGCCCAATAAACTCCCTTATATCTGCTGGCAGTCAGTCGCAAATTGCAGGTGCAATTGATACCGGTACTTGCAAAATAAGACGCGATTATTCCTGAAGTTTTTTGTTGCACCTGTGGTTTTATTTAGCTTCTGCGCATGAGCCTCCTAGTGCCTAGTCGATGAGAATGCAGCCGAATAGAATCTCCACAAACACATTGTCCCACCGATGCAGATAATCCACATAATTTTGCTAGTTAATGAATGTTGAGATCTAGAAAATGTGCTGCTAACTAAGCCGTTTGCTGGTAATGCGATGTAATATAAAGTGTGTCACGAAATTGTACATTCCTAAGAGACAAAACAAGTGTGATTTAATGCTCCAGTCAAATTTGTCAGTAGAAGCCACTCTCTAGTTGGCGGTTTTAAATTCAGCTACAGAGAATCACCCATGTGCCCATCTCATTTTAATTTATAAATTTAAGCAAAACACCTTGAAGTTAATTCGTAGAACAGATAAATAGATAATGCATATGGCGACCTAACTTTCAAGGGCATTCAGAATGTCAGGCTCTCAAAATTATTCGTTAGAATACGGCAAATATTCATTTC